TATATTCACGTCACCAAATAATTTATTAAAACACACTGTTATATGGTGAAGGTCTACAGTAGCCTAATCTGTAGGGTAGCACCATGGTGTAGCCGGAGGACAGCTAGCTTCCGTCTTCCTTTGGGTACATTGACTTCAGTACAACACCTAGGAGGCTCGTGGTTCTCACCCCCTTCCATAGACTTACAAAATAATTATGACAACTTCCGGAGGCTGTCCTCCAACCTATCAGAGCTCTTGCAGCATGAAATGACATGTTGTCCACCCAATCAAAGGATCAGAGAATACATTTAGTACTGAAAGCATAAGTTACACTCTAAAAATGTGGGGTTCAACTAGGGTTTTTCTAAGATCCTCACAATTCTTTGAAGAACCTTAGGGTTCTTGGCACTGAAAATGTCCCTCAAAAGGTTCTTCCAAGAACCAAATAGGAGGTGGGGTTCATCAAGGAACCTCCTTAGTTGGTGGGGGTTCTTGCAGGAACCTAACTGCCCAACTGAAACATTTGGATTTTAATATGAAAGGATAGCAGGTGCAGGCACTTTACTAAAACATGTAAAGATTTCCTCAATTTAAGGTAAGGTGTGTCCCTTGTATGATCTAAATTGATATTGTTTTATAATGATACCATCTAGCTTTTCATATTTGTGCAAATCTTTCTAAAACAGAAAATTGACACAATTCAATGGATATCAATCAACAAAGAGGTAAGAATGTGTAGGCTATACGAATATGTTGAAGGCTAGCTGTATTGGGTGCAGATGACTGAACTGCTCACTTTTTGTGTCTGTGTCTGCAGGTGTACAGATGAGGAGGCATACAATGGTAAGTCTATTGGTATGTTATGCAGATCACATGTACCATCCTCCTCCCTTAACTCTTCAATGAAAATCCCATAAGCCTTTACAATATGGACAAGGTATGTGTATGAAAACCATTATCAAAACAGTTTTTTTCATTCACGTTTACCACAGAAACCAAGGTATGAATGCTGTCATGTGCATATTTTATTAATCATCTGTATAATTACTATTTTTTGGATTTACAAACTTCACCTTCCCTATAACAGGAAACCTGTTTGATCACCATGCACTGGGGGGTAAGGGGGTAGTTAAAAAATGAGCCCCAAAAGGTTCTTCAAAAGGTTCTTCGAGGATCCATTAAAAGGGTTCTTTCAAAGGGTTTTTCGAAGAACTTATAGGGGTTCCCACACAGTTTCAATTTGAGAGAACCCCTGAAGGATACTCCAGGAACCTTTTCTTTTTAGAGTGTACAGCTAGCTAGCATTGAAGTGCATAACATGTGGTGAGAAGTTGACTCAAAGAGAGAAAGACAATAGTTGAACAGTTTTTAACAAATTAATTTCTTCAAAAATTAAGGATAATCAAAAGAGAGAGAGAGAGCTTTCCATATTTCACTGTTTTTTTTCTCCTTCACTTTCACTTTCACTTACTTAGCTAGCTAATGCCGCTAGCTAGTTTAGCCTACTCAAACACCTGGTTCAAACAGAGAGGGATGCTATGTTAGCTAGCTGGCTATGGCTATGGCTATCCAATACTGGAACTATTCCAAGTCAAGGTAAGCTTTTGATTTTATTAATTTATTGCCACCGGTGCCTGCTGGTGTAACTACTAAACTGCTTGCTGCTGACTGTACACTTTACTGCATGATTTTAACGGGTTTAATAATGCGTTAGTTCTAATAACTATGTTGATTATGATGTTATTATGGTGACAACGATGTAGGCTGTGTGTGGCGGTTAGCGGTTATAATATGAAGGTTTGGCTTGGAAAGTTTATTTCACCTGATCACAGACAGCTGATGTGTTGTGCACTGAAGTCCACAATCGAAGAGAAAAGGTGAGAGGAGGAGAGTGCGTAGATGCGAGAAGTAATTATACAACGATCAATGGGATCATGCTGTTTGTATGTGGCTGCTATGAAAGTGAACTGTGTTTGCGTGTGATCAGGGGTTTATTAATTTTAAAATGTGTACAAATGTTTCTTAAACGTAAGCAAACGGAATGGAACGGGGATAAGCATAGCTGAATATGTCCAATAGAAACTCTCGTTTGCAGCTGTTGGACTATTGATTACACCTGATAGCAGATCAGGCAAGATTCAACGGTATTGATGTT